GAGAGAGAGCATGTGCACACATCTCTAGATGGTGAAAAGAGCACTGCACTTGGAATCAAGAGGAGTCATCTTCATGAATTCAGATAGAGTTTCAGTCACTCAGTAGACGTATGATCCTGGGCAAGTCTCTTAACCCAGTTTGCCTCAGTTCCTCACCTGTGAAATGAGCTGGAGAAGGAAATGCCAAAACACTCCAGTATCTTTGCCAAGAAAACCCCAAAATGTGGTCACAAAGAGCCAGACACAACAACAATAAGAAAAAGACAATACACATATATTATTCATTCCAAATAATACTCTTCTTAGATAGGGGATACTATTAAGGCCATTAAATATGAAGAAACTGACAAAGGGACTTGCCTAGGACTATTCAACATGAAAGAGTCTAAGACAATATAAATTCAAGACTCTCCTAAATCCAAATCTATGACACTTTTTATTACATACTGTTACCTTTGAAAAAGTTTGTTTTATACATCTGTATGTATAAAAATATAGCTTGTTAGGGGCCGAGCCAAGATGGCAGAGTAAAAGCTGTGACTTGCTTAAGCTCTCCCCCAAACCCCTCTAAATACCTATAAAATTGGCTCTAAACAGATTCTAAAGCACTAGAACTCACAAAAAGACAGAGTGAAGCAAGTTTCCAGCCCAAGACAGCCTGAATGGTCAATCAGAAAGTTATATTATGCAAGGCGGGGAGTGAGAGCAGTTCGGTGTGGGTGCACAGACAAGGCAGGCCTCAGTGAACCTGGAGCAGGCCTCAGAGGACTGAATCAGTGGAAGCTGTAGTGATTTCCAGATGTCTCAACCCACAAATATCAAAGGCAACTTAGAAGGTCAGTAGAAAAATTCTCTGTCTGCAGTGAGACAGAGAAGCATGGTTCCAGTCCTATTTCCCAAGCGTGGCCCTGGGACAGCAGCTGCTTCTGAAGCTTCCAACCCTCAGAATGAAAGGAAATCAGGGAACTGAGTGGCTGATCAGAGAGGGATTGCAGGGGTCTGTCTGCTGGTGAAGGATTCTCTTGCTTTGCCCATGCTTGGATATGGGTCACAGTTCTGGGTGGCAGTCCTAGAGCAAGGAGGAGTGTAGGCATGGTGGAGCTTGTAGTGACTGTGGAGAGGAAATCCTCCTCACAGTTCCAAGGCAGAAAAGAGTGCTTGTGGTCACTCATAGAACAGAGTATAGGGCAAGAAAGGGGTAAACATCTCGCCCCTTATTATACCACCTTGGAAGAACTGAAAATTTACAGTTCCTAGAGGTATCTCAGAAAACAGCTGCAAAAAACCCCTAAAGATTAGGACAGTACATTCTCCACATTGGAAGCAGATCCCTACCTTAAGAAAAAGTTTAAAACTCTGGTAATTGACTGGAATCATGAATAAACAAAGATCCAAAAAAGTCGGACCATAGAATCTTTCTTTGGTAATAAAGAAGATTAAAACATACAATTAGAAGACAACAAAGTCAAAGCTCCTACATCCAAAGCCTCCAAGAAAAATATGAATCAGTCTCAGGCCATGGAAGAGCTCAAAAAGGATTTTGAGAAGCAAGTATGAGAAATAGAGGAAAAACTGGGAAGAGAAAAGTGAGTGATGCAAGAAAATCATGAAAAACAATTTAACAACTTGCAAAAGGAAACCCCCAAAACTACTGAATAACACCTTAAAAAATAGCCAACCCAAATGGCAAAGAGGTCCAAAAAGCCAAGGAGGAGAAGAATGCCTTAAAAAGCAAAATTAGACAAAGGAAAAGGAATTCCAAAACTTTACTGTAGAAAATACTTCCTTAAAAATTAGAATGGAGCAATTAGAAATTAGTGATATTATGAGAAATCAAGACACTGTAAAACAAATCCAAGAGAATGAAAAAATAGAAAGCAATGTGAAATATCTCATTAGACAAACAACTGACCTGGAAAATAGATCCAGGAGAGAGAATTTAAAAAAAAAGTTATTGGACTATCTGAAAGCCATGATCGAAAGAAGAGCCTCGATATCATCTTTCAAGAAATTATCAAGGAAAACTGCCCTGATATTTTAGAAGCAGGGGGCAAAATAGAAATTGAAAGAATCCACTGATCACCTCCTGAAAGAGATCTTCAAAGGAAAACTCCTAGGTATATCGTAGCCAAATTACAGAGTTAACTGGTCAAAGAGAAAATATTGCAGGGAGCCAGAAAGAAACAATTCAAATATTGTGGAAACACAATTAGGATAACACAAGATTTAGCAGCTTCTACATTAAGGGACCGCAGGGTATGGAATATAATATTCTGGAGAGCAAAGGAAATAGGATTACAACAAAGAATCACCTATCTAGAAAAACTTAGTATAATCCTTCAGGAGAAAAAGTGGTCACTCAGTGAAATAGTGAACTTTCAAACATTCTTAATGAAAAGACAAGAGCTGAACAGAAAATTTGACTGTCAAATACAAGACTCAAGTGAAACATGAAGAGGTAAACATGAAAGAGAACTCATAAGAGACTTATTAAAGTTGAAATGCTTACATTCCTGTGTGGAAAGATGATATTTGTAACTCATGAGACCTTTGTCAGTATTAGGGTAGTTGGAGTGAAAAAATTTGATAGATAGATAGATAGATAGATAGATAGACAGATAGATAGATAGATAGACAGATAGATAGATAGATAGGTGTCACAGGATGAGTTGAAGATGAAGGGGTGATATCTGGAGAATAAAATTAAGGGGTGAGAGAAGATTATACTGGGAGGAGAAAGGGAGAGGTAGAATGGGGTAAATTATCGCACATGAAACAGAAAAGAAAGGCTTTTACAGTGGAGGGGAAACGGGGGAAGGTGAGAGGGAATGAGTGAATCTCATTCTCATATGATTTGCCTTAAGGAGGGAACAACATTCACACTCAATTGGGTATGGAAATCTATCTTACCCTATAGGAAAATATGGGGGTAAGTGGACAAGAGTTCAAGGAGATGATAGAGGAGAGGGCAGATGGGGTGAGGGAGTAATAAGAAGCAAACACTTCTTAGGAGGGACAGGGACAAAAGAGAGAATAGAATAAATGAGGGGTGGGATAGGATGAAGGGAAATATAGTTAGTTTTTCACAATGTGACTACTATGGAAGTATTTTGGATGACTACATATTTGTAACTGGTATCAAGTTGCTTGCCTTTTCAATGAGTGTGGGTGGAGAGGGAAGAAGGGAGAAAATTTGGAACCCAAAGTCTTAAAAACACATGTTAAAAATTGTTTTCACATGCAACTGGGAAATAAGATATACAGGAAATGGGATATAGAAATCTATCCTACACTACAGAGAAATAGAAGGGGAAGGGGATAAGAAAAGTGGGGGAATTATAAGGGAAGGCAGATTAGGGGAAGGGGTATACAGAATGCATGCCATCTTGGGGTGGGGGAGTGATGAGATGCAGAGAAAATTTAGAACTCAAAATCTTGTTGAAGTGAATGTTGAAAACTAAAAATAAATAAATTTAAAAAAAGGAAAATACCCTGATTTGGGGGCTGGATCCCAGAGTTGGGAAGGTACGGATTGGATTTTCCCTCTAAGAAAAAAGATGATCCAATTGAAGTTGTTGTCCCCTCACAGGTTTCCTAAAAGTATTCTTGACCTCTTCGTTTCTAAGGCTATAGACCAGAGGGTTCAACTGGGGATGCCCATGGTGTAGAACATTGACACTACTTTGTCTGAGTCCACGGAATGGCTTGAGCTGGGTTTAAAGGACATGAAGATGATTGTTCCATAAAATATGGACACTGCTGCGAGATGGGATGCACAGGTGGAGAAGGCTTTCTGGAGGCCTTCAGTATAATGGATCTTCAAGATAGTGATGAAGATTAACAAATAAGGAGTAAAGATGATGAGAAATGGGAAAAAGTCAATGAATGACCCTAAGATAAAGAATGCTAACTCAATGATATGAGTGTCAGATCAAGAGAGAACTAAGAGAGGAGGAGTATCACAGAAAAAGTGATGGACTGTGTTGGACCTACAAAATGAAAGGCTAAACATGTTTCCTATGACTGTTGAGGAGGTTAGAATATCTCAGATGTAAGCACCACTGAGCCGATGTGCACATACAGTTGATGTCATGGTAGTGGTATGATGTAAGGGTTTGCAAATAGCAGCATGGCAATCATAAGCCATGGAGGCAAAAGGAAACTTTCAGTAGTAACAAAAGCTCCAAAGAAGAAAAATTGTGTAGCAAATCCATTATAGGAGATAACCTTGTTCCCCGTGAGGAGTCCAGCCATCACCTAGGGAGTAATAGCTGAGGAGTAGCAAAAATTCACCAGAGAGAGGTTACTGAGGAAAAAGTACTGGGTCTATTTCCTTATGCTTTAGACATTCTTTGGGATTCTAGGTAAATAACTGAAACTCTCTAAGAATATGAGTTGCAGAGTAGGTCAATCAACATTATCAATCAATAAACATGCGTTAATGGCTTCCTATGTCCAAGGCACTGTTCTAAAAGCTGGGGATACCAAAGGAGACAAAAGACTACCCCTGCCCTCTAGGACCTTATGATCTAATAGGGGAGACACCATGGAAAAATGCAAACAAAGAAGCTATATACAGGATAAATAGAAAATAATTAAGAGAGTAGGTACTAAAATTAAGAGATATTGGGGAAGACTTCCATTAAAAGTGAGGAGAGACTCATTATTGCCAGGAGCAGTGTGATTACTGTTTTAGATGGCTCTACTAGTTCAAAAAGATTTTCCTTTTACCAAGTCTAAATTTGTTTCTTTACAACTTTTGTTCTTTGCTTCTCATACTGAAATCTAAGACTAAGATACAAATCTAATTTCTGCTCCACATGGTAGTTCAACTATTCTCCTCACTAAACACCAGATCCTTAAATTGATCCCCATGTGGTAGGGGATTCCGTCTCCTTGATATGTTGGGAATGAAGGATAAGAAGAACTGAAATTTTTTCAGGACTTGAAACACTATCAGTCACCCAGGAAGCATTTATTGTATGTCCACCCTGTGACCATCATCGTACAAGACACTGGAAAACCTGAGAAGGAAACAGAATTGGGTGTCTTTACCTTAAGCTTATAATCGAATAAACATTACAAGACACACAAATCTGAAATAGTTGCTAATGCAAATGAGAAAAGATGTATCGATGTGCAGATGAAGTAGTATAAGACTACAAAACTAAAGAAATTAGGAGAAGAAAGGAACATTTATGAGTAGATTGATTGAGGATATCTGTGAGGTGAGTCTCAAGTATTGCTTCAAATCATACACACACACACACACACACAACATTTTTGTGGTGTAGAAGAAGAAAAAAGATATTTTAAGTAGAATTAAGATTAATTCATTACATATAGCATATCCTCCCTAATTAAAATCACATGCATACCAGAGGCTTTGCCCTCTGAAAAGCTTTCCTAAAGGCTTTATTGACCTCTTTGTTCCTCAGACTATAAAGAAGAGGGTTCAGCATAGGGATTACTATGGTGTAGAACACTGAGCCCATTTGGTCATTGTCCATAGAATGACTTGAGTTGGGTTGTAAGTACATGAAGATTACAGTCTCATAGAATATAGACGCTGCTGTCAGGTGTGAGGTATCGCTGGAAAAGGCTTTCTGTGGGCCCTCTGCAGAATGCATTCTCAGGAATGTGATGAAAATGAACAAGTAGGAGATCAGGATGATGAGGAGGGCAAAAATGACATTGAAGACAGTCAAGACGAAGAGTATCACTTCATTGATATGGATATAAGAACAGGAGAGAACCAGAATTAGGGGAATTTCACAGAAAAAATGATGGACTATATTTGAACCCCAGAAGGAGAAGTGAAAGGTAAAGCCAATGTGGATGGAGGACTCAATGATACCCCAGATATAGCAGTCAGTCACCAGTTGTGTGCACAGATTTGCTCTCATACTGGTGGTATAATGGAGAGGCTTACATATGCCTGCATTGTGTTCATACACCATAACAGCCAGGAGGAAAAAGTCCACACTAGCAAAGGCCACAAAGAAGAACATTTGAGCAGCACAGCTATCATGGGAGATGACCTTGTTTCCTGTGAGAAGCCCAGCCATCATTTTGGGAGTAATATTTGATGAATAAACACAATCCACCAAAGACAGATTGCTAAGGAAAAAGTACGTGGGAGTGTGGAGTGGGGGATCTAAGTAAATCAGCACAATTATCCCCACGTTTCCCACCAGTGTTATGAAGAGGATTACCTGAAGCTCTGGGGCATCTGTCAGTCCCACAACAGTAAATTCATTCACCTCTGTGCTGTTCTGCATAAACTCAATTTGAGAGATGGTTCAGGCATCAATCACAACAGGAGAAAAAAGAATAAATTATCCTCTGAAAGACATTACTTATTAATAAAATAAATCATGAAGCCATTGGCTGGCTTCAGGTACAAATATCCTTTATTCTTCATCTAACTTCTTGGTGTACCCTCTGATATATCTTTGAACTTTGCTAACGGACCTCTGCTGCTACTCAGGAACAAAACACGAGCTTTCGATTAGAGTACTGTGGAATGCATGCTAAGCATAAGCTAAGAAGATTATGTGTTCCTGTAGGCATCCACCCAGGGAATGAGGTTCATAAGTCTGCCTCCCTAGAAAGCATTACAAGGTAAGTCATAAGTGAGCTTAGGACCTCTGATGATAAAGGATACTTGTATAGAGCTAATAACTCTGTTGGTGTATGCGTATGTGTGAATATATACACATATATATATGTATATGCATATATAATCATATATATCTGTGTGTATTTGTGTATGCATGCATGTATGCATATGTGTATTATATAAATACGTATATATGTATGTGCATATATATACATATATGTATATATATGTATGTATGTGTATATATATATATACTTGTATTTAATTAAAACCTCTATTTCCTCAGTACACATAACCTCCTTAACCTTGTGCAAACCAAAGGCTGGTCTGCCTACTCTACTAAATATACTCACTGTATCTATTATCATCAATAGGAACTTGCTTATCAGTATAGCCAGACATCACTTCTTTATTCTCATTCCCTGTTAGTCATTCAAGACAATTCTTGGAACTCTCTTCTCCTCTGACTTCTGTGACACAGCACTTGTGTTTTTCTTCAGTTTGCTCTAATTATTCTTTCTCTGTCTCCTTTGCTAAGTTCACTTTCTCCTAGTGATAAGCATTCCTTGTGGCTCTGTTCTAGGCCTTCCATCCTTCTTTTTCTACATTCTCTCAGACAGTTCATCTAGTCCTGTCAAGTCAAGCACCATCACTATTCTGAAAACTCTTCAAATAATATCTTTCATTCTGTCTGCTCATTGCTGCTCTGTGACAACGACACTGTTTACCAGAGATGGAGAACCTTTGGCCTTAAGGCCACATGTGGCCTTCTAAATTCTTAAGCATGGCCTTTTTACTGAATCCAAATTCTGCACTTAAGGATTGAGAAAGCCCCTTTGGCCTTAAGGCTGCAAATTCCCCGCCCCTGGGACTCTACTCCATCTAGTTTATAGTCCTATATCTGACTTTCAAGGAGTGGCATCTCGCATCATCTCAAGCTACTTTAAGGCTAAGAAATTCAGGCAAACAAGAAGTCTTAATATCCCTATTGATTTCCTAAGATAAATCAGTGATGATCTAGAAAAAGCCCTGGACTTGGAATCATAGGATAGTGATTTCAATGCTTGCTCTGTCACTTATTACTGGAAAGATTTAGAGTAAGTCACCGAACATTGCTCATTTTCCTCATCTTTCAGTGAAGATATTGGACTGAATCACATCAAAGTTTCCAACTGGCTCTAAATAAATGATAGTATAATTTCTTTAAAAATACAAGTAGATAATATAACCAGCTAAGGCAGCTAAGTTATATTATTTCTTGCATTTGTGCATCCAAAACTAATATCTTTCACATCAGTCCCTTCATCCAAGGTGATTCACAACTTGCAATGGTCTACTTCATCACATCTTCCTCTTAGAATCCCTAACTTCCTTCATGGTTCTACTCAAATACCACCTTCTACACACAAAACCAAAACAAACAAAAAAAAACCTACCTTCATTAACTCTCTCATGGTTTGGGTATTCAATCCTCAAGAAATTACTTTGTTTCTGCTTTTATATGTTGTGTTTACTTCTCTATCTACAGTTGTTTCTAGATTTCAGGAATATCAGAAGACATGTCAAAGATCAAGAACTTCACAAACCTCAAAGTATTATCATCATCATCATCATCATCATCATCATCACCAACCACTTGAGGGTAGAGTTTGTTTTCTTTTTGTATCCTTGTGCTTATTAAATTGCCTCGAATAGTATGGATATTTAATAAATGTTTACCAAATTCATTTGAATTAATTGATTTTAATTGAACATATAAATAATATTGACAGAAAGACCTTGTAAACAGTATTTAAGGAAAAAAAAGATTTCTAAAGAGAAGTTTATGGCTTAATAGATTCTGAGATAGAAAGGTTTTTCGAGAAATCTCTCCAACCCCCTCCTTTATAGACGAATGGACTGAGGCCCATAGAGATGAGGTGACTTTCCCTAAATCACATAACCTTCAAGTGCCAGATCCAGACTCAACTCCTATACTCTTTAAGGGTATTTGGCATGGTGAAAAACCTAGTGTTCTTAAAGGTGAGAAACTTCAGCTCCAATCCTGTCTACCAATAAATTGTTCTGTGACCTTTATCAAGTCACATTTCCTCTCTTGGCCTTGGTGCCATTTGTAAAATTGTGGAGTAGATATTAATGGTCTTTTATACATTTGACATTTATGTGGTCTATAGGGAAGCTAGGTGGTGAAGTGGATAGAATGTTGGGCCTGGAGTCAGAAAGACCTGAATTCAAATCTGGACTCAGACATTTACTAGCTCTGTGACCCTAGACAAGTCACTTAACTCTATTTGCCTTAGTTTCCTCATCTGTAAAATGAGCTTGAGAAGGAAATGGCAAGCTGCTCTAGTATCTTTGCCAAGATAACCCCAAAGGAGGACATAGAGAGTTACACATGACTGAAAATGAACAACAAATGGTTTATGCATTTAAAACTAATATCATGTAGTCATTTGAAAGGATTTCTAGCAATAAAATAAACACTATCCCTTAAAATATTGTGAAAAGAGTTCAAAATTCAAGTTCCTTATCATGGACCATGGAGGACATAGAAATACAGATAATAGGTATATAAGATAGTTGTCACATAAAAAATTGAGGTGCGAAGTCATGAGTTCAACATTTAGTTTGGTTTCTTATTACATGTGGGATGTTGGACAAGCTCCTTATGATCTCTGGGTCTCAATTTTCTCATCAGTAAAACTATATAACCTCTGAAATCTCTTCTTGCTCTGAGTCTTATCTATTCTTAGATTATACTACATGGCACCATGTGCATTTAGGGTACAAAATATGTGATTAAGAACCTTTTACACACACCCTATTTTTTCATGTGGCACTAGTACTGTAAATCTGAGTAAATTCTAACACTAGCACTTTAAAATTGGAGACCTACCTGGGTCCTTCAGAGTGGCTGTCAAAATTCCAAGGGATAGAAGTAGCACAGCACCTTCATTACCTCATCTCTAATCAGAGTCATAGGTCAGAGAAGAGAGAAGAGAGTGTATTGGAGAAACACTTCTTCACTTAATGTCTCTGAAAGATCAGAGCTGTCCAATACATGACTGTTATCAATCCATGTCAAAGCTTTTACATAGATTTTTCTGCAAGTAAAATCAATAGTTGGATTACATCATGGAAAAATAGTTTCTTTGCAATAATAATGATGATGATGATAAAAATGGGCAACCACTTGACCACACATTAGTTTCAGAGAAATGAGCCTAAATGGTGTCAGGATAAGCTTTCCATATCTAGAGGTCTGAGAGTACATGTATAAAGGCATGAAGAAATAGGTGCTCACAGAGAGAAATTGCTCATCTGAGGCACCAACAATTTCCTCAGTCTAAGTCTCAGTCTAACTGTATAACATGCAATTACACCCCTACTCTTTAGGGACACAGCCCTAATTTTTGCGAGGAGTCCTTGGGGTATTCTGCTGTTGTGTCAAGGCTTTTCCCTGATTCATAGAAGACACGGCTATTGCCACAAGAGTCAAGAAATAGTGTACATGAGTTCACTAGGCAGTAAGAGGTTGTAGACACTAGATGGGTTAGAGAATCATAGTGAGGGGATAAGACTCTTAAGGACAAGGGAATGTGGCTCCCCATAATTCAACCTGATTTTTTTGGCCTCTTTGGAAAGAAATGTCTTTTTGCATACTGTCCATGTAATCATCAACCAAAGAAGCTAGGCATGTGTCAGGTGGAAGATGAGGAAGTAGCCCAGCTTCCTTTTTCTAGTACACTGCATATCCTAAAGTAGTTTCCGTAATCCAGTCACCCAAAACTCAAAGATGTCTTCTGTCCTATTGATAGAAGAATCTTGAATAAGAACGAATGAGGTGATATGTGGTTCACTCTTATATGAGTACCTCTTAACTCTAGCAGCTCAGCTGGATTCTGAGAAGAATGAAGAACCATGATTCATTTCAACCTGCATCTCTCAAACTGGCTTCCTTCCCTGACTCCTTTTAAGAGTTAAATTGATGTATTTATCTTATGAATCAGAGAATTCCAGGACTTTAAATGACCTCAGTGACTATTCATCCCAGGCCATGCTTAAACAAGTATTCCTTCTTCAATATTTCTGAACAATTCAACTCCATTTGAAATTCCTCAGTGAGGAGCAAGTCACTTCTTCCTCAGGCAACCATCCCACTTTTGGAAGACTATCATTAAGATTTCCCTCCCAACCAGCCTAAATCAGTCTTCTGAATAGGGCATCAAAGTGATACCCCAGTCAGCTGTGGCAGCCACTGCCATACTTTGGGGGAAGATTCTTCCCTGATATCTTTCCTATGCTGTTCTTGCTTCCTTATTCCTGGTCTCTTGGGTATTTCCAATTAAAACAAGGGACTTTTACTTAAAGACATGAAATTAAAAGAGTTATTGCTCTTGGAACTGCCTGGCACAATATACTCTTCTACAAAGTCTTATGTAGTACTAATACTGAGCCCCAACAGTGATCTTGAACAATAGTCCCAAAATTTTGTTTGCAGCTCCCTGAAGGTTCTAGTAATCTTTCAAGGAATTTGCAACATTTGTATTATTTTCATAATAACACTAAAACATTTTAATTTTTTATATGGTAAATATTAAAATATATAATCCATATAAACAAAAGTCTTTTGGAATCCTTGTTAATTTTAAGAGAATAAATAATTCTTGAGATAAAAATGTATAAGGACAGATATTTAGGATTCTAGATCCTAGAAGGTCCCTTCTAATACTAACAGCCCACAACTCTGAGTCATGGAAAGGTGGAATATATTTGTGATCATTCCTAAATAATGTATTCTCTAGCAATCCCAGTTCAGTTTCAGTATGTGATATTATGAGAGTTTGGGGAGGGTACATA